AAGTTATCCCTCAGTTTATTCACAAATTCAGACATTGTCGGAGAGACTGGCACTTGCGGATGACTTAATAAAATCACAGAGTGTGGTGAAGCAGAGCAAGTCAAATCGGAGGAGAAAAGAGTCAGTTTCTTTACTATTTTCAATGAGATTGACCACAGTTTTATCCCTTCCTTGTACTGTCAGATAAAGCACATTCAAATCATGAAAGATGTTGCTTAAAAATCACATCTGTGATGCGAATCCATCGTGCAGCATTTGAGACAGTTTGTGCTTGCAATCACGGAGAAAAGTCATAGTTTCACAGTTCAATTATGAGCTGAGTTCACAGACCCTGTGGAGGGCATTGCCCTTGCTAAGCCGTGTTGGGAAGTAACTAGTTACATGAACTAAATTACGTAATTTAATTACAAAACAAATGTAATTGTAATCAGTTACAGTTACTGAGAAAAAGTGTGCAATTAAATTAGTTACTTATAAAAATGTTGCTGTAGTGAGATGCTGAAGCCTTCTCTTGGGCAGAGCGAGATCGACTTATGACAACTCGGCTATGTTCGTAGGTTGATGTTAGCGTTTGGATTTTGCGTTGTCGGATATCAGAACCCAGTGGATACTTGATATTAAAGTATATTAGTATCTAGGCAACATTAGATACATATAGATACAACTTTACATATCTACTTTTGTCCTTATGTCTAAAAAGCCCGCCACAGCCCCTGTCAAACCCTGGTACATGTAAATGAGTGGCTGTTTCTTTTAGCAGAGGACCAATCAGCTTCTCTTTCAGTTTTTAAATGTTATTTGCAGTGGCCAAAATTCAAAATAAAATGAATTAAAAATTTAATTAATAATAAAAAAGAACATAATGAATTACAACAAATTATTTTTCAATTCAGTTCGTTTTGCTATGTTTTAATTCTGGCATAAGGTATTTTTTCGTTCCGGTTCAAGAGTTCCGAGGTTACAGCTAAATAAAAGAAAGTATAATTGCGCATTGTGCAAATGAGCTTTGAAAATAACAGTAACATCAAATCAATCACTTTTTTCAACCCACTTTCTCATTCGTTTAAAATAAAATAGTTACATATTAAGGTTAAGAACTCACTATTTTGCCTCCTCATTAACACATACAGTAGGCCTATGTCTATTCCAAAAGCAGAGCATCCATATTTTAATTTATACCTTAAATGTACTCTGTTAGACATTTCTGTAATTTCTAGTTATTTACTGTATATCCCCCAGTATAATACAGCAAATTCCATTTACAGTAAGTAACTGTAATACTCTTTGCATCATGAGGATTTTCTGTGACGTCAAACCCCACATACAGTGACTTGCTGTTTTTTTTAAATTGCTGTATACTACTGTATTTGCCGTAACGGCCTCTGTGGCGCCATTCCATTGAGGTTGTTTTATTTTCCGCATTTCTTACATTTGGATTGACAAGATTTGCCCTGCACCGGCATCTACAACGCCGCAACAGCTTGGGACAGACTATACTGGACGCGTTACGTCGCTTGTAATGATTGGCAAATACGTTTGCCCTTCGTGTCAGAAACAGCGTGAGTGCTTGGAGTACATCTGTACGTCAGAAATATACCGGGGCATCACTTTACTGTCCGCATCCACTGTAGACAGTATCGCTGATTATAATGGGTTCTATATTGTGTTTTGTCGCGTCGCGTAGTTCCTCGCATCCGAGGAAGACGCGGAACCCATATGTACAAAACCATATGTTAGCAAGGTTAAACTAGTTTTATGGCTATCTCTTTTCCCATTATGTTTCTGTTGCCTAAAGATTCGTTGTGAGGATAAATCCAGAGAATACAACATAATACACTGCAAAATGTCCTAAGACAGGAGGAATGGTGAAGATGCACTGTTCCAGCATTGGAAGACTGTATTTTTAAGTGTTATACATTGTGTTTTAAATAAAGAATTTGATATTTTGTAATTATTGTGTCTGTTTTAATTGAATGCCAGTAGTACATACAGTATGTAGGATAAAAATAAAATGAATTCTATATATAAAAATATAAAATCAAATGAAATCTATATTAAAATAAATGAACTACAGTAGTATACTGATGAATTTGATTTTTTATAGTAATTTACTGTAAAATGGTACAGTTTGCTAATGTAAATCAAATACAGTAACTTACTGGCAACAGTGTTCGAAATCTATATATGTCGAAATCTATTTTGACATATATTTTTATTCCATATATTGTTATGGTACAAAGAATGCTCCATTTATAATTAGGCACTAACTAACTGTCACTTACGAAGTTCCTTTATAATTAAAATCAATTCTTTCTACACAATGAATCTCTTTTACATCATGTTTACACTTTATAATCTTACACGTTATAATCTTTTAATAGGCATATAATCTTTGACAAAATTACTAAAATGTGGATGAATGTTGTTTTAACTCTACATCGCTGACCACCACATAAACAGCTTCATTGGAGTCACACCGAACAACAGTCAAACGAGAGGAAGCGGTCTACATTTGTGAAGTTTACAGTAACATTTATTTAGTCTTTTCTGATTTCATTAAAAATGATCTGAAAGAAATTAAGCAGGTATTAACCGTTCCAAGCTTTTAAAGATGTTTTCTCTGATGAACAACTAAAACTGAGGTTGTTTTCCTTTTCTATTACATTCTTTAACAGATTTTCAATTTGCATTGTTTGAAAGGTTTTGCAAAGATTAAAATATTGAATTGTGTTTTAAAAAGGCCAACGCTATGGCAGAAAGGTGAATCTGTCCCCAGGGCCGGGGTGTTACTGCTCATCCGAGGGCTGGATTTGGCCTATCATTTGAAAAGGCCTGCTCTATATGTGCTGCATGCATTTAAAAAGGTGGAGGTGAGGTGGGGTGTGGGGGAGGGGCTTACTGGCACAGTGCTTAACTAGAAGCATTAAATATGGCACTTCATGCTCAGAAGTTTGCCGACCCCTGGTCTAGTGTATGAATGACAGTATGAGTTATTTCATCATTCATCATCACTCTGATAGCTCCTCCCCCTACAGCATCTAATTAAAGCTGCAACAGTTGCATGCTTGAAGTGTTTTTTGTTTTGGTTAATTAAGCATTATCCGGGCATCTAAAGTGCACGCTTCATGGTGAATTTTTACCGTCAACACACTGTGAACATTATTTAGTCTAAAAAATCACATAGGGCCAGATTAAAAGAACACATTTTAATGACCAGCGCAAACCACCAAGAGCAGCGCAAATTACCGCCTGCTTTAAGATGCGTTAAATAATGCCGCAAATACCAGTGAATTGATTAGCGCAAAATCTTAGCGTTGCATGATTAATTTAAATAGTCTCCTCCCATAAATTTACCGATCGACAAAGAAACTCCTACAAACGCATATTCAATAAGGTGAGTCGTATGTATGGCAAGCCGTTTTAGCTTAAAATATTCCAAGCGTTACTAAGGAACTAAGTTTTACTAGTAACAATTTAATTAGAGAGCTCTGAAAATGCATTCTTACTAGTAACAATTAATTAGAGAGCTCTACGGTTCAATCCTTACTAGTAAGAATTTAATTGTAGAGCTCTCTAATTGTAATACTTAATAGTACAATTTCAATTGTAGAGTTCTCTAATTAAAAATGAATGGAAGTCAATGGAAATATATGACTAGTAAAAATTCATTTGTAGAGCTCTCTAATTGAAATTGTTACTAGTAAAAATGCAATTACGACGAGTAACACTGGGATTATTTTAAGCTAAAACGGCTTGCCATAGAGTCGCAAAAATAACTGTGTTCAGGCCTTTTCAGTGCTAATTTCCCACGCGTTTCTTTAGTAAATCCTGACAGTAGTTCTTTAAAGGGGTCCTATTATGCTTTTTCACTTTTTTAATTTTAGTCAGTGTGTAGTGTGTATGTTTGGGCATAAAAAAGATCTAGAAAGTTACAAATCTCAAAGTCCACTCCAAAGGGAGATATTTCGTTTTTTAAAAGTCCCTTTTCAATAACTACAACGAACGGCTCATTTGGACTTTGTTTTCTGGGTTTTATGATGTCACAAAGCGGCTCATTAGAATATCATTAAAAATAATTCCCGCCTACAGAAATCCGAATGGTTGTGGCTCAAACTGATATGGCAATATTGACGCCATCCTTAACTATACCGCAGCAGACGGAACTTACAGAACGGGGCAGTACTGAAACAGCTGTTCGCCAATCACAACGCACTGGGACAGCTGACCAATCACATCACATTTAGTTTTTCGGAAGGCGGACCTTCATCAAACCCGGAACTAATCGAGCCGTTTGTGCCAGGCTGGGGAGAAAGGTATTGTAATAATGTAAATTATGTAAAAAAGAATGCGTTTTTCGAACCACTAAGCATGAGAGCATGTTCTAGTACACCCCCAAAACAAAATCAAGACTTTGTAAAAGAGCATAATAGGACCCCTTTAAAGCCAAATGAGGGTTTGCGCTGGCGCAAGCTGATAGTAAATCTGGCCCATAGTATCCCGATTCGCTTAATTATGCACTTAACAGCCAGCTACTCTTGCTGAAAATCATAACGTAACGGCTTTACAGAGTATTGATTGTTGCTTGTTGTTGATATGTTCGGTGAAGCGTCATGGCCATGCTGTATTGTAAATAAACTGCTGAAAATCATAACGTAACGGCTTTACAGAGTATTGATTGTTGATTGTTGTTGATATGTTCGGTGAAGCGTCATGGCCATGCTGTATTGTAAATAAACACAGTTATTGACCAATCAGCATCAAGGACTGCAACAATAATGTATATTAATGAGATTCATCTCGTATATTTCTAAATAGTTTTTATTGAAATCAGTATAAATTAACAGCAGTATAAGATGATATGATGTCCTACTTATTTAAGGATTTTTTGCATTACAGTAAATGCATTACTGTGATGTATTTATTTAAAACAAAGTTCAATTCTATCTATCTATCTATATACAGTATATATATATCTATGCTCCTGTTTCAGAAGTAGACATGCACACACATATCTAGCTGAGTGTGTGTGTACGGTCCTCCCTCGTCCCTCCCCTCGGCTGTCTCTGCCCACTCCTCCGCCATGCACTGACCCAGACTCCGCTGCGCTTCATCATCACCGCCATCATCCTCATCCTCATCGCGAACAATAGCGCGAGCTGCAGGCCTGACCGCACGCGCGACACAGCGATGCTCAGCGGCGTCTGAAGCGCACGGAACACACGCGGCATCGCTTCAGACTCGAGCACTCGGAGAAGATGGCGAACGACTCTCCGGCGAAGAGCCTGGTGGACATCGACCTCGCCTCTCTGCGGGTGAGCGGCTCTCTCCGAGCGTCTCCGCGGGGCTCGCGTCGCGTCGCTTATTAACCTGTACGATGCTCTTTGTGTGATTGCAGGACCCTGCTGGTATTTTTGAGCTGGTGGAAGTGGTCGGCAATGGCACCTACGGACAAGTGTACAAGGTCGGTGTCGATTGAGTCTTACTACATTCACAACGAGCTTCACTGCAGCTTCGAGACTACTCCGTTATAGTTTTACAGCAGAATAGTCATTTCTACTGAAGTCGAGCGGTTTATTGGAGAGATTGAGCTCTGCTGATGGGTGTGATCTGCTGCGCATGCGCAGAGACACTCAATGCGACAAAAAAGCAGCTTGATTATAAACCGGCTTCACACAGATATAAACGAGCTCAGCTCTGGATCTGTGCATCACATTATTACACTGTTTCAGTCCTGTGTGACCGGCAGACATTCAGCCTCGACTCTTAACAGCTCATTTGTCGATCCCTCTGCCAAAGATTGAGAGATTTTGTTTTGCACAATACTGAATAAAAAGTATTGTGATAGCCAGATAGCTGTTGTGGATAGTAACAGGCTGTCAGACGGCATCGGCCTGCTCTGAAGAAAGCAGTGCACTGATGATGAAGAGCTTCCTCACTGCTTACATTCTTACAGTCTGAGGTCATGCTCCTGTTTCTGAATCATTCACTTATTTCCTTAAACCTCAGTGCTGTCGCTGACCAGCTTTGAAGCGGTAGATCAGCCAGAAATGAGCCTGCGGTCATCAGTAGCCGTGTGTCCACTGTGAGGCCAGAAGCGGGCGTGCTAGTGTGTTTCCACGGTCTCTTGATGGGGCCTCGGCGGGCCCCTGGGGGCTGGAGGAGTGGTTATGAGTTTATCGATAATAAAAGCACGGTATGCTTCTGAAAATACCAGAGACCGCTTGAAGAACTCAGATAAATCATATATGATTATAATCATGTATTGGTTTCATATTTGTTCTGTCTGCTCAGCGTGTCTTTGCACCTGCATATGTCATAAATTGCATATGCTCCGTGTAAATCATATAACTCAGATTTTCAGTCTGTGAGCTCCCTCTGCTGCTTTGGCTGAAGGGATAACAGTGAGATGGGTTCTGTTGTGTTATATATGTACGCATTTGGACTAAAAAGCCCTAATGGAGTTGTTTTGTGCGGAGCAAGTAGCGTATGTGTGCTCTCTCTTTATGTGAAATAATTATAACTGTCTGTTTGATTTAGCATGTTGACACAACTTAATGAATGACTATTTTTATCGTAAATCATCGGTATATAAAAATATTGATGCTGAAGCCTTAAGTCTTTATGTAAGGGCCAAACGTCCATTTCTTGTTTAACGGTATAGGTTTGTTAGTTTCCCCTCGCTGGTGAAATGCTGGGGTTGTGTGACGGTTTCTTCAGAGAGGTGTGTTTTACAGTAGCGCTGGCCCCACAGTGGAAAAGCAGCTATTTACTCTCCCTCATGTCGTACCAAAACCACAAGACTTTGATTTTTTTAATTATATTTTTTATTGAAGCCAAAATGATTTCTGTCCTTTCATTGAAAGTCCATGCAATCAAAATTTTCAAGCTTAAAATGCATATGAATTGCAATGATCAACATATTTAATTTATGCTTTTATTGGCATGTAAACACTGATCATCACACACACACACACACACACACACACTTGACTTGATGCATGTAAATGGTTGTATGCATGGGTTGGGTCAATAAAAAAAAATAATAGGGTCGCTCTCTAAAAAGTGTGAAAGCCAGTGCATTAGTGGGCTCTCTGGAGGTTTGAGGGCCGTATCATCTGAAGAGCCTGCTGTAGTGAAGTCTGAGTCTGAAGAACATGCTGTGACACCCGTTGAGGGCTTGAGCTCTCGATCACCCGTAAGCAGCGTTTCATCACAAAACAATAACACCATGCGCACAGGACAGACGAGCCATCTGATGGTATTCTGGTGAATGAGAAATGATTGCAGTGCAAACCGCTGTAGAGTTAGAAGCGGTGATTCACAGTTCACAGGCTTCATGTGCCACAAATCAGTCGCTGTAGAACCAATCAGAGCCCATCGCCTATTTCTGAGGGAGGGGCTTCATAAAAGAAGGAATTGATCAGCACGTTTCTCAGAGAAGGGACAGAGCGGTGTGGAATAAAGGTAAATTATGTGAAAAATAATGCGTTTTTGTAAAAACAAAGTATTAACATTTGAGACTGCACCCCATAAACACAATCAAGCCTAGAAAAAACCCAGTGAACCACCCCTTTAATGGTTGCAGACTGGATGATTGTCTGTTTTTCTTACATCTATACACCTTTCACTTTTTAAGTCTAAAACAAAAGATGGATTCATTGTTATTCTTAATTAAAAAGCACAACAACAATAAAACAGTAGGCTATAATGACAAACTAGCTTACATAACAAAAACTAATAAGATGAGGCATGGGATAAATATTAAAGGGGTCATATGATGCTGCTAAAAAGAACATTATTTTGTGTATTTGGTGTAATGAAATGTGTTTATGCGGTTTAAGGTTCAAAAACACATTATTTTCCACATACTGTACATTATTGTTTCTCCTCTATGCCCCGCCTTTCTGAAACGCGTCGATTTTTACAAAGCTCATCGGTCTGAAAAAGCAAGGTGTGCTGTGATTGGAAGTTACGGCTTCTTTCTTTCCGTGAACATTTGGGCGGGGTTATGTAAATCTTCCCACATCGTGACGTAGACATGTGGGGCGTGTTAGAACGAGCCGTTTTAGGTAGGTGTGGCTGACTCTTAACTTTTATAAAGAATATCTCTTTGGTTTTGAGACTTTAGTCTTTGCAACTTTAGGATCTTATCTATTCACGAACAGCTTGTAACACTCCGAAGAGAAAGGAAAACTTGAAATCGCATCATATGACCCCTTTAAACTTGCTGTCGGTGACGGTGCTTGCATGTTTTTTCCACAAGAATACCAGCATGTTCACCTTCTCTGGTTTAAGAAGCGGTCTTTTACTTTACTTTAGTGTGAATATATTGGCGTCATTATGCGTGCACCTTTGCGCTGGTGCTGAGGCGGTGAGTATAAACCAGGCTCTACAGTCGAAGCGCTCGCACTGAAAGCAGCTCTCTTCTCGTGATCAGTCAAATCTGAGTCCTGCTGTATCTGCAGCGCTCGCTGTATGGAGCAGAGCAGGCCAGTGCTCTCGCACAAATTTGGACTCGCACATTCTCAAAAAATTGTCGCAAATCTGACCGTTTTGGTCGCAGTCTAGAGCCCTGTTTCAGAATTGAGGCAAGTGACTGACTATATGAATGGGTTACTGAATCATTGATTACTTGATTTATTCAAAAACATGGATTGATCGGCTCTGATACTGGCATTTTCTGCTGGATCGGGTATCAGTCAGACGAGACCGATCCAAATCCCATATTCTGCGTATACTATTCTGTGTTATTGTTAAGCCCCACGAAAGCACAAACACATTATAAAGCACCATAAAGTAAAAGTCCAAGTGTTCTGAAGCTGTTCCATGGCTTAATGTGAGGTACAGATTAATATTGAAGTCGTTAAATTCAAGTTCTCGTAAACTCTTCTCTCCGCTGCAGCTGTCTGTCATCCTTCATTCAGTGTTCAAGCTGTGTGTCGTGTTCGGTTACGACAGTCGAGACGATGAAACTCTCTTCAAGAGCGCACAGTAACTGAGATTTAAAACTGTTAAAAGACAAGGCTCAATAAACTATCGCACAGATTTAATAAACTATGCATCAATATCTCTTGTGTTTTGAACTTCTCTGTGTGGAGCGCTGTGACTCCGTGTTGCTTCAAGCTCATCATTCTGCTCATCATTCTCGAGATGTGCATAAGTGCTTTGTGCTGCTCTGTGTTAGAGCCTTTCGTATTATAATACTTTTGTTCAATGAAAGATTATTTATAGCGTTTCTTGTTCTGTCCTATCTATCTATCATATGTTGCTGCCTTCATTACTGTGCTATACATTTAAAAGAAATGTCTTTTCATTTTATAGTATATATTTATATATAAATATAGTTAGGCTACTTGTTTTTCATGAATGTATTTTACAACAATACAGAGAGCAATGTGTAACATTTTACCAGATTTAGTCCTACACTTCACTTTTATTTGTTCTCCACTAAATAATGTTATTTCACTAAATGTTTAGCTTTTATAGAATTATTGTGCACTCATAGTTTTTATTTGTAAATAATTAAAAATAAAGTAAAACTTGAAAAAAAAAGATGAAATAGATTGTTTAGCCGTCTTGACAACTGCCAGCAGAGAAGTGTGAACTGCGAGTTTGCTGTTAAGCGATTGAAATATCGAAACTAATTTCTTGAATGAGCTCCAGAGAGCTGAACTCTGAGTCCTGCTGTAGATCTCAGCTGTGCTTGACCATGGCTTTTGTGCTTAAAGCTGCATTCCAGCGCGGATGAATCTGACAAAGCGTGGCGATCACATGCAGCAGCCGTCTGGAATGTTGTTTCTTCAGGTTTGGGATGTCAGAGGGATGATTTTGTGTATTCCAGCGCGGATGCGGTTGTGTTTGGACAGATGAGGAGTTGTGAGGGTGAACTCAGATCAGTGTTTATGACTCTATGGCTTCTGTGGAGCATCTGCCCTCACACTGAACACACTGCTGTTCTTCCTCAGTTTGTGTCCATTGTTTTCTTTGTGTCGGCCAATGAGGCGTGAGCTTCAGGTCACATGTCCAGAGCCGCTGCAGACACACGCTGGAGCTTTAGGTGGCGCTGAAACACTGAAGACTGATTCATGTCCAGCAGTGTGTGTTTGACTCCACACACACACTCAACACGCGCTCACATGTCAAATATCACACACACATTCACGCTGTCTGTGTGAAAGACTCCCTTTATCTCCAGTCTGTGTTCTGTGTGCTCCTCTGAACTGAAGCTCTGTTCTCTGTGTTACTGTATCTGTGCCTCATTAATCATCATTCACACATCATCATATGATGCTGCGGTGTGTTTGTGGCCTCTCATATGAACACATCACATACGAACAGATATAAGCTCGTTCATGGATGATCATGTGATTCACAGCCCCAGAGAGCTGGTGGTCATGTGACCTGGGCGTGAGGCTGTGATTGGCTGAGAGTGTGTAACCAGGCAGACTCGCACATGCAGTA